CGTTTCAAGGAAACACAATTACCTACACTTGCATATGACATGGAAAAGGATATTCTTCTGCTTCATTTGGTGTCGCCCAATCCATAAAATGTGCATGTAAGCCTCACATGATTTATTAGCTCAAGCCTCTTTCTTCACCTGACCTTCTCGCCCACTAGGTTTGAGGCAACGCTGGAGGATCTTCTGCTCGGCATCTGGCCCACCGATGACCGACCTCCAACGCCCAGCCGGCCAGTTCCAGTCTGCCAAGTCAGCGTCTCTGAGGCGTCAAGGCTGCCTGCACGGACCGTCGACTACTCGACCTCAACAACCGGCGCTCTAGGCCTTAGACTCTGCGACCTGAGGCCTAGTATCGCAGGTGGAGGATACGAGTCGTCGGGCAGCGGTACATCGTACATAGCCCTTTCGGATTCTGCCGTTTTAGGCCCTCCTCACTCGGGCAATCAAGCCTCTTCCATTTCATCGCCCGACTCACTTTCTTCGTTTCCATGTCAACCTGCCAGTGTTCTTGTTGACGACGAACAAGCGGCAGAAATGGGCGAGAAGACCGAGTCTCCAGACGGCCTAGGCTACAGCGTCAAAGTGGAGTCGTCACAGAATGCTATCGGTCCTTGTGAGGCCAGTGGTCAGTTGGAGGAAAGTCTGAAATGGTCTCTGTCAGCTTCGGCTGCTGCTGAGAAGAGTGGAGGTGTCACGGCCACCTACAGTACCGTTGATCGGGCCGCAGGTCTTCCTCACTCAACTGGGCTACAACGGCATGACGACCGATCGGCGGAATCGGATCGTCGACAGTTGAACGTTGCGGCCGATTGGGCAGACTCTGCCCAGGCAACTGAGTGGAAGTCGTTCGTGATGAGCCAGATCGCGGAAGCAGAGTTGGAGGGTGAGGGAAATACAGAGGCTGAGTATGAGCTGTCCAGTGTTGAGGCGCTCTCGGCAACCACCTCGACCTCTTCCAGGTAGGCAAGAGAGCATGGCTTTGTGCGCAAGCTAGCGTGAGTCGTTTTTTAATCATACACCCCTTGAGGATGGTTGAGGTAGCAAAAGGCTGCCAGGGGAATAGGCCGAAAAATGTAATATCCCCGCTTTGGTAAGAGTAGTTTTCGATAGTCTCAGTAATTCTCATCCCATTGTAGGAAAAACACAAACATCATTCGTTAATTGAAGGTATGAAGATCAAGATGGTGTGGCCTTTTGTGTGGTCGCAGTCTCCTTTCGTTGTAGAGAAGTTGTTCGACCTTGGTCATGTTGGTAGGAAGACTTAGAAGAATGCATCTTTTCCGGAGTCCATTGTCTGCATCATCATTTCCAGAGTAGGACCGTGGACGTGGTACATTCCCAGACGTTTC